GTTTGATTTGATATCAAGGCAAAGATGATTATACGCTGAGTGGAACCGCGATGTGTAGGAGGTAGCTGTGATAAGGATGAAAAAAACTTTAAATGCAGAGCTGTCATACAGAGAACCCCCCATCTGCGCTGGTAATGAATATGTAGGGCTGTAAATGTGACACTCAGAAGAACAAGTTGTCAAAACACAATGTACTAAATGCCTTATGATATGTAAATGATAGCGGGACAAGTGCATAGGTGGCACCTGAAATATAGACTCACACATTATAGCCGAGTGCTATTAAGGTGCATTAGAGGGAGAGATGTTTGGAAAGGCTCCGCTGAGGTTGGAAGAGAAACTGCAGGGGTCAAGTACGATTTGTCAGAGAACTATAATGAGATCTGGCATCCAAGAGGAGGGAGGAGGAAATTAGATGGATTTTACAATTAAAATGCTCAGGAAGTTTTATCTTTTCAATATAATGAGAAAGACAAGCAATCTTGGCGCTCAAATCTATTCATCAAGTCTAAATGTTATATCCATAATAAAATATGTGTCTGTCCAAAGCCTTGCTGTACTGACCCCTTGTGGCCGTACAATGTTTTTTGTGTCACAATCAAATGCTGTACCATTGAGTCACTCATTTGTTAAGGCTCCTAAGCTCTTTTCAAAGATACAAATGTATGTCCATGTCATAACAACATTACAGTATTTCTTAATTATGATCAGATAAGATTCGATTCCTAATAAGCATAATTTTTTTGGTGTAAGAAGAATCATCTTTTCCTACAGGGAATACAACATTTGGCAGATTTGGAGGATGCCCTTGTGTGAAACCTGCTCGCTTACAGGGAATTGAACATTTTAGGTGAACAGACGTACCCAAGGACAGAGCAACAGTATATGCTGTAGTATACTACAATATATGTATATGTTTTTTTATTTAATGTTCATCCAAAGCAAATCATTTGGAATATAAGATCATATACTTTCAGGTACAGTAAGTAACTTTTTGGAGGTCACCTACATGATTTCCTGGACACAAAAAGTTGAAATCATCTCATGCATTCTCTGTGGAGAAGTTTTATGCCATACTGTGAAATATTATAGACAAAGCAAAGCCATTACCAAGGAAACAAGCAGGAAGCTCTCCACCAGGTCAAACAAGAGCCAGGTTTGCTCATTGTAAGAATGCATGTTTTTTTTTCAGTATAAAGGGTTTTTTTTTTTTTTCAATAAAAGCAACCAAAATGGAAAAAAAAGTCTGTTTTTTGGCTAAAAAGTTACACACTGTTTCTTTAAAATATATGTCCATTTATGATTAAATATTTATCATGAAAAAAGTGTAGTAATTCTTCGCAACATTTTGATTCACCTGATTCCTATACACTCAACCGACCACTATAATAAAAATGTAAACCACAAAAAGAACAAATAACACATTCAGAGCTGAAAGCTAAAATCTTAATGTGGGGCTACACTCATATCTTCATGCTTTTCCAGCCGCCAAAAGACGAGGATACAAATGTAAAAAAGTCATCTAGTTTAAACAGAGACATTTGCAAATCCATTATTCATGTCTCCCAGGTAACCACGACACTTCTCTATTTTTACCTTCCAATTTAAACATTGCCTTTATATTTCCTTCCCACTCCTCCAGTGTCCTCTCCAGACCTATTTTTTTATTTATTTAGTTTTCAATCTTCCTTTCACACTATGCAAATGTGTTTATTTACAGTGCATCTTTTTCTGCTGAAATGTCAAAATGTCTACTGTGAGACGGCTGGTCACACAAGGACAATGCACCCAAAATGTCAACTAGATATGGACTCTCCAGATGAGCTGGGTTTGGATTGTCAGTGTCTGAGTAGAGAATATTATATGTGTTTAGCTCAAATATAAACATTACAGTTTTGTTACATTTTATTAATATGCTGACAGTCCAATTCAAAGGTTCAGATACCCAGCCATCTGAAACTACACTTGACTCGACCAAGACACTAGCCCACGTTTCTATGGTCAAGATGATTGATTAATTAGAAGTAAAACAATTTTGCATAATATTGGTCCTTTAAACTAATCTTTTACATTTATCCATGCAGCATTTAAAGACACTGTAAAGGAATATAACATACATGACATGAAAACAATGAAAAATAATGTCAACTGAGTGTAACTAACTTTGAATACATCTAAAAGGGCCCATATTACACTATTTTCTGATCTGCTATGTTATGATTCCTCATCACAAACATACCCGGAGTTATGTTTTGTTTCATTCATACATGTTTAATGCATAAATCCTGCCTATTTCCTTTTAAACTGAAAACACTCTGTTCCACCTTGTGATGTCATGTGGTAACCTACAGGAAACGTTCCACTGTGTTTTTAAACCCCAGATCTTCACTAAAATCATTTGGATAATTTCAGACCTGGAATTGCCAATTTAGACAGAACAAAACGTGGCTGTTAACTTGAAAACTACCTCTACATGATATCACAAGGTGGAACAGAGCATTTTTTGCTTTGGAGCTCTAGACAGACTAGTAATAAAGGGTTACTTAAACCTGTGTGGATGAAACAAAACACAACCCTGGGTATGTTTTTGATGAAGAGTCACTTTTTCGTAATATAGGACCTTAAACAAATTCCCAGTCAAGTGAAGAAAAGCACCAAAGTGAGACCACAAAGTGTAAAAGCTCAACTGTTGCCAAACGCGTTACTAAAGTCCCAGCACCATTCTGGTCACATGACCATGGTGAACCAGTGCTTTGTCCCAGTTTTATACAAGAAATTTTTCAGGTTTCAGGTGTCCCTATTTTTGACCAATCTGATACCTGTCAACAGTAAAGATAAGCATAAATTGTCATTTATTTAGGGAAAATACAGAAAAGCTGCTTAAAAATGACCAAAACACAAAGAAAATGTGCCTATACTGATTAACATTAGTGACAAGTGAATAACAATTTTTCTTAATTACGCACTCGTTTCACAATTGTATTACTACCAACCACCACAAACCAGGGATGTCCCAACTTTTTATGCTGAAAATGTGGTCACCCTACACATGACACAACCATCTGCAGCCCGGGCTCGGTGGTGAACGGGAGCCAGGAGCAGTGACTCAGGGGGAGTTTGTCTGGCGCACTTCACCCCCATCACCTCGGCCCTATGGAGACGGCTTACATCTGTCACCGCTCCAGCACTTACAAGGGCGGCATCGCGACACACGGCTCCGAGCTTGTTAAACATCAATAAACGTCACATTCGTATTCTGTGGGCATTACGCGGCATGATTATGATGGATGAACAGCAGTGGGAGAGCGCGGAGAGGTCTGCAGTGCTGTGGTGGTACACTGGAGTTTAGCGGTTTATAAGGAGTTTGTGTTGGTGTCAATGCGCTGCTTTGAAAAGTTGAAGCGCCATTTGGGCTGTTAATTATCTGGACCGCATGCTGTTTTAAGAAGATACGTCGATATATGTTGGCCTTCAATATTTATAATGTTTATGTAGGCTAACTAGTCAAACAGATGAGAAAGTGCAATTTTCTAGAACACACTTGGTAGAGCCAATTTAGTCGTTCAGTCAGTTTACTTTAGACCACAGGAAAGCGCATTTTAAAAATGCCAGCATATTAGTTTAAGCAAATAAAAGATTAGAAACAGTTTTAATGAAGTTTGGCTCCATTTAGGTTGGGTACAGTGACTCATCCCCAAGACTAAATTTGGAGATCTTTATTCAGGAGGTCTAAATGTGTGTTTGAGCCACAATTGCAGTATAAAAATGTAAGCTCTTTGAGTTGTCTAGGGTTTTTCTGATCCCAGTTAGAGTGATTAAAGTTTTTTTTTTTTTTTTTAAACTATGGTGTATAAACCATGCCATAAAGTATGCAGCAAGTTCACCCCTGGCACACATCTTATCTTGATTGAATTAAGTAAATCACTGTATGATAAAACATAAGGCTCACAAAACTCTTACTTTGTTAATTCTGTAATATGAAGATGATGTTGTTTGACGTTTGTTTCTGGAGTGTCATAACCAGTTACATTGTAACTCCTCATAATGAACAGTTATTGCTAACGTGGACATTCTCCCACAGCGATGAACGCTGACAGCATCCACTGTTTAAATGAGCAGCCACAAACTGTGTTCAACCAGGGGTGAGACAGGACACTGGGACATAAGCAGGACCAGGCTGTTTCACAAAGCATCGGTCTACAGGTCAGTCAGACCCATCCATTACTCACCCAGGTGTTACAGCAGGGTGCGCACATCTGAAAGCAACATCAAATGGCTACACACACAGTGAAAGAACAACTCCAACCACAGTTGCATTTAAAAGAGCTATAGCAATATCATGAGAACACTCCATTTCTCTGTAGTACACATTTAATATTGGTTGTTGGGAGATCATCAGTAATGTGAACAATTGTCTTCTTATATTTTTCTGGGTAATTCTGTGGCTCTGAACAAAACAGATTCAAACATAAAAACCAAATTTGTATACAAACAAACAAATGTCAGTTATGTTCAATGTGAACAAGTGCACTCTGCCTCCACACTGTACATTTGGTTGCATAATGCCTGAAAACAGTCAGTGGCATCTCCATACAAGTCACTTTCTTTGAACTGCAAATAATTATTATCTGTGTTGGACAATGCAGAGCACAGTCCTCACAACATTTAATGGACATCCACGTTTCCATTAAATACAATCACTCTTTTAGTTAAACACTTCAGAATACCAAGTGTGACTTTGGACGCTTTCATAAGGTACTCTTTACAAGTGCACAAAGAATATTATACACGTTATAAAGTTGTCACTCTGTGCATCATATACAGTTGAGTCAATAGAAAAAGTACAACGCTGGGAAACAACACCATACAAGCAGTGTTGTTTTTGGCTTTTCCCAATTTGTCCATTCAGAGCTCAGATCTGTTCAACAGTGCACAGTGGAGCTCTGAGCCTCTGTCTCTGCTCTCCATTGCGATGGGGTCAACAGACGGTCAGCTAAGGGCTAAATAAAATATTCCTTCTGGTTCTCACTTGAACCAGTGCTGTGTGAGTTGTTTTGGCTGCTGAAAGGCAGCTCTGGGCAGTCGTCTGGTTTGACTGTTTTCACATCCTCACCGTGACACGTCCATTTCCTCCTGTATAAGAGGCGGCCCATTATGGCCAAGGCAGAGAGAGTCACGAAGATCACCAGCGCTATCACACCTGCAAAGGCAACAATGACAGGGCAAGTTTGCCTACTTATTCACTCAACTTGTGATGTGATCGTATATATATATATATATATATATATATATATATATATATATATATATATATATATATATATATATATATATATATATATATATATATATATGTATATATGTATATATGTATATATATGTATATATATATATATATATATATATATATATATATATATATATATATACATATATATGTTGTGGCAATTGTGGCAAATGTTGTGATTAATTGAGGGTGGTTACCTCCGATTAAGGCAGAGTCACTCTTGACGGCATTCATTAAAGGCTGACCCATTTCCACTGATCCAGACTGGCCTGCCATGCACACAGACAAACTCAACATAAACAACAGTGAAAGTTAAGTGTGAAAAGCAACAATATATGTTTGACCTGTTACCTGACAGTGTATGGGTGGTTTCAGCTGCAGGAGAACCTCCTGAAGATGAGCCACAGCGGGACTGGACCAGGGGGCCGGAGACAGTGGTGGGACTGGAGTCTGGGTGTAGCAGAGCGGCCTTTAGGGGACTGATTGTGTTGAACTGCACAGCAGACAAGCACCCTGTGAAACCTGCAGCAGCTATTCGAGCCAACTCTGGGTCCAGCTCTGTAGTATCTAGAGAAAAACATTCACAATAGAAATGAAAAACTATGCAACACTATTTGTGTATCAAGTCTAAACCACATATTAACATACACAAGATCTGCGTTAAAGTGACAACACCTTTCTTGTATCATCTTCAAGTACCTTGTAATCTGCCCAGAATGATCGACCTGAGGCCATTAAACTCCACATCAAAGGTGAGATTGAAGTACTCCACTGTGTTCTGGTCAACCTACAGATGTACACAACAAAAAGTAAAACAAAAATCAATTAAAACATTTCACCTATGCTTCCTCGTGTATTAATTAATAAATCAAAGAATAAATATCACACACAAATACATAAAAACAGCTTTCATGTGCAGGAGTATGGTTTGAACAGTAATACACTATTACCTGTATGGTGACTCTGTCTCCATCTCTGTTGAGGATAATGCTGTGAAGCTGTCCATTGGCCAGGTTCCCCACGCTGCTCCTCAGCACCTCACTGGCTCGGCTGCTGTCCAGCCTATAGGCCACCTCCAGTTTACCTACACACATGTTTTATAGAGTAGGCCTGCATTTTACTATACAGCTTAGTAAATAATTAGGTAGCAGTCATGAGGCTGGCTTGTAATTAAGTATGTGATGGGCTGCTATGCTAATTTATTATAATTCTAAGAGCAGACCTATCAGTAGTAGTCATGAAGTCAAATACAAGTCAAGTTGTACACCAACATTATTCAATCCATCCTACTCTACTGCTCCCCCTGTTACTTCAACATGCTCTCCATCACCAACAGAAATAAACTCATTAAGGTCACATACATGGTCCAAAATGATCAGTCTGCCCAACACGACCCTCTCCCACCTCAACAACAAAGCCGTTACACGCATGGCCCGTACAGTCAGCAGGAACTCAGACCACCCTCTTCACAGACACAGACAGTCTGCTACCCTCAGGACGCACATACAGCACTCTGACGACTCTGAGGTAGAAGTGGGCACACTTCAGTAAAATCTTAGTCTCTTCTGCCGTCACTGCTCTTCATAGTCAACAGTGATCTGGATCCTCATCAGCATGTGTGTTTTTTTGTCCTGTGTCCGTTTGTCTTATTATTTTATATCTATGTATCTATGTGACAGTGTCTGTGAAAAAGAATTTCCCCCTGGAGACAATAAAGGTCTGTATCTCTGATATGTTGTTTTTTACTATAGGAGTATAAGGCAGCTAAAGTTTTGGGATGTACAAAGTCTTGGCCAACTGGCTGTAAAAACATATTGACCTAAGTAGTTTTGGTATCGATCTATGCATTAGAAAGGTGGCTGTGGGGATGCACTTCTTGTTACAAATAAGATACAAGCTCTATTTATTCCCTGTGGAAAAGTTTTATCACCCAAAAAACCTGCTCCAGGTGGCAAGCCTTTAATGGGGCGCCTCGGTTTAAAAACAGCCACCTGCAGACTCCCACATCACCATGGTAACACTAATGACCGCTGGCTATCAGCTTCCTTCAGGCTTACTTACTGAAGCAAGCACATGCTAAGCTATTACAACCTTTTTTTCAAATTGTATGATTCATTACCATTTTAAAATCCTGACCCAGTGAGTGGTTATATAATACATGTATTCAGCTTACTCTGTTTGTTAAGCAGCAGGGCCAGGTGCTCTCTGTGGTACGAGCTGATGTAGAGGAGCAGAGCTGGAGTTTGAACGCTTCTGAAGCTCAGAGACACATTTTCCGCTCTCAGGCTGAAGTCTGTGTGGACAGAGACGTGTGCTCCGCTGCTGTGGTTCAAGGCTCTCTCTTTAGACCCCTGGAAGCTGTAGTTAATAGATGTGGAGGATTTGAAGCTGGCTGAAACGTCTGCAAATAACCGAAAACAGAGTAGTATTACACAAAAATCAAGCTGACATATTCTGTTTGCTTTGCGCTCCTACAGTGTGAATGTCTGTGGACCGTGGACCTGGAGGCTAACAGATTTCAAGAACATCAAGGAAAACATTATCATTTATTTAACGTCCACTGTGTTTTTTCCATTCTACTGAACGTCATTCGGATACTCAACTGTTTGCAGATGTTGTTTTACTCTTCTAGGGCTGTGCAAATAATACAATTTTTATCAAAGTTGAGATTCACTCATTTCTTTTGGCTGGGTAATTTTAAGAGGTCTAGATCCAATCCTTGGTCACTAAAAACAACTTTGGCTGTGCTACATTGACTCTCCTTGTTGTATATGTTCAAGAAATTAATTTTAGAAGGCATTTTTATTTGTTTTTGTAATAAAACAATAAAAAATCAATAAAAAATCAATCAATATGAGCTACAAAATTATTTAGAAGGTACATTCATACAGAGTAACAGCATTGACTAAAGCAAGTTGTTTGACAGTGCAATCGCATTCAGAGCACTCTCATCTTAAATCTAATTTTCTCATTTTCTCATACATACGTACATGCATAGCTTTTCACAGACACACATTTGAAATTTGGTTTTGGTGCATTCAAAGTTGTGCAAATATTAGTCTTATTGGTTATAAATTGTCTAAGCTCTAAAATATGTCAGTGGGACTCTGACATCCCATTTGAAAGGCACAAATGAAATCAAAGAGTAGCAGCTGACAGATAAGAGCAATATCGTCTAAAAAAAGGTATAAGGCTGCTAATTAAAGCTGTCATGTATGAGAGCTGTGATTTCCGTGATGCACGCGTTGAGGCAAACACAGCTGGTAGCATTGCTAATTATCTGCAACATGTGTTAATATCCTGAAGAGACAGTTCCTGTTTTGTGCTAAATGACAGGAAGGGACGTGTCACCAGTCCTAGAGTTCATCAAAACATCTTTGAAGTCTGATGTGATGTGGTTGTGTAACGGACGAAGAGGCAGGCGTGTGGGGGCGTTGGTACCTCGATCACAGAAGGTTCCAGTGAAAGCAGATGGAGAGCAGTCACAGTAAAAGCTGCTGGGCTGCTCCACACAGAGACCCTGGTGCTGGCACAGGGAGCCGTAGCTGGTGCAGTGGCCCAGACAGCCCGCTTCTACCCCAGGGGTCATCCTTGCACGGGCCTCCAGATCCAGAGTGACCCCATTGAGCTGCAGAGCGCGCACACACCCCCTAAAGCCCTTCTGTCGGGATGCTGTGCCTCCTGAACAAGAGACACAAAGACACAAAGACTAACCGGTACTGTTCAATAAACATATAAACAAAAACATGTCAAACTGAACTATTCTCAAGTATAACATGACATACAATACATATCATTATTGTCCCTGGTTTGGTAAAAACATGTTCCAGCTGACAAGAAAGAGTAAAGAGGAAAGCAACATGAGAAATATGAGAAATATAGGCTATTAAAGTCACAGAAATTTCTGTTCTTATTTCAGAATCAAGCTTTAAAAAGGGCGCAGTCAAGCCTCCATCTTTACTGAGTCGCACTTCAGTTGCTAATTGAAACACTGCAATGATGAGACATGTCACATGATATCTGTGATATGGTTTCAGATTATTGTTACAGCTTTGCTTTCAGTGCTTCAACAAGAAGAAAGATTTGTCACTGCCTGTACATGTTTTAAAATGGTGGGGTGATGAAACCATAGTGAAACAAAAACCAGCAGGTAGAAAGAACCAATGCGCTGACTTTTATTGGCAGCTTGTGTGCTAGCAGAGCACCATGTGGATTGTTGGTATCTACAAAGTTGGGCGAGATGTCAGTCTTTTTGACAGTTTACTTGTCCTTCTGGCCTAGCTGACTGTGACTGAAAAACACGTTTTTATTCTTATTCTCTAGGAATACGTGAGCTCCAAATGTTATTGTTTCTGAGACCTAAGAATGCCCTCATAGTCCAGAGGCAAAATAATAATTTCTTAGTGCCTTATTGGCAACATGGCTTAACACAATGAAGATGATGTAGTTTATATCAGGGCCAAAGGTTTCCTTGCACTGTTGAAGAAAAGCAAAAATATATATATATATTTCTGCAACATAGATTGGTAACTAAACAGAAAACAGCAAACAAGCAACAACATTGATAATATTGGCTGCAGAGTGGCGAGTGTGGCAGAGTATTAGTGCAGGGTTCTGCTGACAGGCCCAGTTTCTGCCACTATCTGCTTACTTCAGGAAGAGCTGAGGTGACAAAGATGTAGGGTCTCCAGCTCTCTGAGGGTCTACTAAAATACAGTCAGAGTGCAGAGTTACATCACACTTTGCGTAAAACAATACGCATAATTAAATTTTAAAATAAATACTGTAGCTCAGAAACATTTCTGAGGACAATTAGTTCTGGGGTGTAAAAACAGAGCACCATTAGTGCACATCAAACTAGATTTTCACAGCAGTTGTTGAGTGTGTGTGTGTACCTATAAATAATTGGCTGTTGAGTTGCAGGTGGATGTGCCCATCGGCTGGAGCCTCCTGAGTGGCAGCAGGATGCTCGTCCACTTGGAGCAACGCCTCTTTAATATTTCTCTCTGCTCGGACTCTATGCCACCTGTCATCATTCAGTGGGGAGTCTGTCTTCACCCGCACATCAAGTGGACCATTACCAACGTCAAAAGAAAACAGGACCTCATTGGCAGCTGAATGGGAGAAAAGATTCACTATTATACAATCAGGCACAACATAACGACCAAATGAATATTACACAGCCTCCTTTGCAATAAACCTACATTACACTCTACATTATGATGTAGCATCCTTATATCAGAACCTACCATCTTTACAACTACAATAACTTGAGCTACAGTTTGTCTGCTTGGACCAGCTTCCTTACACTCCTCACATCCATCACTTGTCCCTAGTTCCCTGCTGTGCCCTCCTTGGACCACTTTACTGACCACTGTATAGAAAACACAAGACCTGCAGTTTTGAGGATGCTGTAAACAGACCAAATGCCCTTCCCAAATCATTTTACTTCTCTGATTGTTGGCAAATGGTTTCCACTCAACTAGAGTCACAATGAAGTGATCATCTTTGTTATTCAGTTGTCAGGAGTGATAATTTCAGAACTGTGTGGTGAATGGAAATCATCATTTTAATCAACAATCCTTACAGCTGTACAGGCTTTCCACCATTTGCTGCCTAAGTTTCTGCTGCAGTCTTGTATTCTCTCTAAAGCTCGTTGCCTCTGTCAGTCACAGAGTGCAGCGTGCCAAGTGTGATAAAGATGAGGCAGATTTGGAGCAGGACTGTCGATGAACTGAAGGGAAGCTTTGATATGAAGATACATGGAGCCTTTAGTGATGCAAACAGCTGCTATCGTCAGCTCCCTGACACGGACACGGGGGGTGCCTCTGCATTCAGGCTACATCCAGGATCAAGAGGGGCATACAAAGCCCCCATACTTGTAACCCTCTAGTAACACCTGCTCTGCACTTTAAATAAATAATTCAAAATAAATCAATAAAATAAACTGAAAAAGTGGAACTAAAATTTATTCAACAACTAACCAAATAAAGTAACTGAATCAATTCAACCATCAATATTATAACTATCTTTCATCTTGTTCAGCTGAACTACTTTCCTGCTACTTGCAATCTTGATGTAGTTACTTTATCTATGCTACTTTTATGGTCACTGATAAACACTGACTGGAGACAGTAAATAAACTCTCTAGGCATTTTAATACCAGCAGAACTGTCTGTAGAGATGTTTTGTTCTGTTTGATTTATAGCCCCACATCCTGCTTTGTTTCAGCCAATGAAGAAAAAGCATAAAAGGCAGGATTTGTATGAGTCACTGACAGTGACTGGCTAGTCTCTTAGCCCTCCAGCTGAGTTAGGGGCCGATGTGAAACCTTAACTCATGTGATGATCCGCTCTCACAAGTCATATCGAGCATCTGAGCGAAGTCCAGATTAAATATCTTACCTCTGGGTTTTACTTACAGCTGAGTTCAATCCGAATAAAGTCTTTGATGCCCAAGTTTTCGAGGAAGACCCCAGAGGATGAAGTCGTTTTAAACAGGAAGGAGATATCGGCGCTCAACTCTCCGTGGAATGTGGGAAAGTGAAGGTAGGAAGTCTCTTTGTCAAAGAAGGCAGCGTTCCAGATATTTCCTGAAAAGTGCATGCTTTGATGTTAAACTAGATCTTCTAAATATAAAAGATGCATGTATGCATATATATATATGTATATATATATATATATATATATATGTGTGTGTGTGTGTGTATATATATGTATATATATATATATATATATATATATATATATATATATATATATATATATATATATATATATATATATATATATATATATATATATATATATATATATATATATATATATATATATATATATATATACACATACAGACAGTATATGGATATGTTGTCCCCGATCCCAAACACTATGCTGCAATTACAAGTCAGTCATGTGGCTGCTTCCTAGACTATATACCAATCTGTTTGTGTTGACGGCATCACGTAAAAAGTATAAATTGGAAAGAAGTACATATTATTCATTGACGATATGTATCAATGACATATAGCTAACCTGCTAACTGTCATGTTCCAAATCAGAACTAACCATTGGTGCACTTCCGGCTCCACTGACTCCAATTCACTTTGTTTTGAAAAAGCATCGACCTTGTGTCCGTAACTGCTGCTGTCAGGCTCCTTACTTTGCTCTAACATTTTACGAATGAACCTGCTCTACACGATCCTGGTGTTTTTATTTTGCTATCACAAGCTTCATTTGACTGGAACCGAACGCTATGGGTGACGTCACACACCTTTAGTCAGTCCACTTATACAGTCTATGTTATAACTTACTGTCTCCATGGCAACGAAGTGGCCCAACCCTGTATGCACTTTCTGAACCAGGCCTGTTTATGTCCCTGAGGACCAGGGATCTGACTGGGAGGGTTTCCTTATGGGTGAGGAGGCCGGAATCATTGGTCCTACAGAGAATGATATAAATGATTCACTACGGTCCACAGCTATACACAATGTCTTTGACAAAACAGCTGATATTACCATTCAGCATGGTCTGCATCACAGTTACACTGGTGCCTTGGATCCAGGCACTTGTTCTGCACACCACAAGCACACTGCTGACTCCCGGGTTGAGCCCCACCCCAATAACTCTGCACCTGTCCCCCTGTTGGTCCCCCGAGCCACCAACTGTGTGGGGAACCATCTTAAGGAAACACAGTCTTTATTAATCATCAGTATTGAATTACAGTATATTACTGACCAAATGAAAACTATTACCGACCGAGTATGTTGAAAAGTCTTGACATCTTGCAGTGATAGGATACTTCCTGTTCACAGTGCTCTGACTGGCTTATAACAGCAGCCAGCAGCTCCTCCTCAGATGTGTATTCAAAGAAGGCTGAGTGCTGCTTCTTGTTTGGTGAAGTCTGGACTCTGGTCAGTTCAGTGTTGTTGTGTTCAATCACCATCCATGTCTTGTCCTCTAATCAAATGAGATCAGTTGTAACTGTGGCCCACATGTAAAATATCTCAAACAGCAGAGACTAAATCAAATGCTAGAGTGACACAGTGCATGAAGTGTTTGTTTAGCTATGCATGCTACCTGTCATGTTGCAGTATATGAGCTGTGGTCTGATGGGCCCGCTGCCATCCACATCAATGTAGTAGAAGCCTGACGTGTTGCCTTTGTGCTTGTATGCCTCGCAGGACTGCTCATGTACCGCTGAGGAGGAAAAGATCTAAATTTAATAACTTTCTCACGCACGCATTCAGTTTACAAGACAACAACAAAAAGCATTTTTTTTCAAAGGAGGGAGACACAAGGAAGTTGAATTTTTTACATGGTGTTCCAATCCTTTATAATGTTGTGCATGGGAGTTTGCTGTCTCAAATAAAATGTATGACATTTGCATTTGTTATGTATTTTGGTATTTTTGCAAAAGGGCACACAATGACTGTCAGGTTTTGATGAAATTGTCAGACTAGGTCAGGTAAGAAAATGTATTTGTGAATACTAGACTCATTATAGGGAACGGTGTATAAATTCTGGACAACAAACTTAAAAATAAAATGTTACAATTGAAAATTGCAGATTACTTTTAGACTTAATCAATGAGAATTCTTTTGTTAGAAACTGAAAGACTAATGGTAGATATTTTTATTACAATAAATAATAGGTTGACGGCCATGGCAATACGCTTACTAATATACTTTAACAACACACTATTGTATAGAATAGAGTATCAAATTGGGTTTTCTCAGACTTTGGGGGCTAGACCATGGCTGTGATGGCCATGTTACTTCCTGAAAAAAGCACAGTGCTGTGTCAAGTTTGGTTTGGCCTCCTTGCAAGAATAGTCAGGAAGGATGTGCTTCTCTCTAATGGGCTGTACAGCTGCTGCAGGTTTAGCCTTAGGAGTCTTAGAAGACTTCAGTGTAGAAGGCTGAATGTGGATCCAGTTAGAGATCTTCCCTCTATGGACCAAGCAAAGTTTTTTGTTAGGTTGGGTCTTTGCAATGAAGAGGTCTAGTATATTTTTCTCCACTGGTTCTCTCCTCTTGAGAGTAGGAAAGTCAGATTCAGGGTCAAAGGACGGTTGTATCTCCTGGACTTTGGGTTCAGGTTTGGCCACATAGACTATTTTGAGTCCAGAACATCTTCCTGGAGAGGCACTCTTTGACTTTGGTCTCCGCTTCCTGGTATTGGCCTCAGGACAAGAGTTCTTGCCTTTAGCCTTTTTATCCTTCATAGAATTAGGCTGAAGTGACTCGACGTCTATGAGGTGGTCGTTCATTCTGCGCAGGGCAGAAATGTGCTGATCCCAGGAGGACTGAGTTAAGAATTCCATCGTTATTTAAGGTTGGCACTGAGCTCTGTCATGTGAAGACTTTCAGGTTGAGATACAGCTGAATAATGAAGACGGAGAGACTTCTGTTGGACTCAGAATGCTCAGTTTGGTGATGTCTTTTGTGACAAAGCGATGGAATGTATTTACATTACATTGGTCCCCCAAGCCAGTTGGTGGCTCGGGGGACCAATGTAATGTTTTCTCTGTTTTCTGATTGGGTAACTGGGTAGCCAATCAGAACCCATCTACTTTCATTAATTTTGATTATTTTACTCCTAACATGGTAAACATATATATTCATTTATTATAAATAAAATGTATTCCTATCTGTTGCAGCTTTTGTGATCCTTTTCACAGACCAGATTGTCTAATACATTGCTAATAATATCAAACTTTACCTGGTGACATGATTCAGTGAGACCCACCAGTAACTGTTTATTTCATCAATTAAGAGCAACTTACTTTTTGAAGTTGCCCTAACCCATCAGAATTGTGCCCCTCTCATACTTGCTCAGATTGTTACCCATTTGCCCTGCTTTCATAGTAAATAAGACAAGATCTACTAACATGTTTTTGTTTAGTTTAGAATTTCTTATATTGATTGATTGATTGATAGCATTTATATAGCGCCTTTCAAGATACCCAAAGCACTTTACAGTTCATTATTCAGTCACTCCACACTCAGTGGTGGTAAGCTACTACTGTAGCCACAGCTGCCCTGGGGCAGACTGACGGAAGCGAGGCTGCCCATCTGCGCCATCGGCCCCTCCGACCACCACCATCACTCACGCTCACACCACTTTCATACTAGGCAATGTGGGTGAAGTGTCTTGCCCACTGTGGCACCTGGACTTCCTAGCTGTCTCCAATCCAAGTACTACCCAGGCCCAGCCTGCTTAGCTTCTGAGATCTGACGGGATCAGGCTTTTACAAGCCGGTATGGCTTGGAAGATACTCTTCTCCCTTGTTTATGGCTACACATCTATTTATGTTTAAATTATTAGTAAGTATAAATATAATATGTACATATAAAGTTAATTCTGCAGTGCTTCTTCTCCCCCACTTGTTGCAAGTCAACTGGATGCAGGGTTGACACAGTAGAATGGCTCCTATACCCCAGCTGGATGCATGAATAAAAAATAGGATTGCTGTAAGAAAGGGTAATTCCTTGGTAAATATTTTTCAAGCACACAACAGAACTCTTAAATTTGAAACATTTGAAATTCTCACTAAAGTAGACTTTTCTTGTGAGGGTAAAGCTTGTTTTTCTTGGCGCCTTAATCTCCTGTCCATCACTCTGAGCTTGTGGCTCACATAACCCTGAAGATAGTGAAGGGATTTGATCTAAGCCTGACCTCTTGCCACAACAACGCCTGAGGGACTGGGAGTTAAAAGAGCCCTGAACACACACACACACATGTATACACACATACAGACGCGCACACACACACACGTACATCAACACTGTGAAGCGTTTGATCACGGCCTGATCAGAGTGCATTGTGAGACTTACAGCTGTGACAGGTGGCTCCGCTGTAGCCGCTGCCTGAGCAGTTGCAGTGGAAGGTGCTCCAGGACTGACTGCAGCTGGCACCATGTTCACAATGACTCGGCGAACATCTGTGGATCAACAACACAGACAGGAGCGCAGGTCAAATCCTTTCAACTGTCCAGGAACATACTGCAATGCATTAAACAGTACATATGTTGGACCCAAAAAAAGACTTGTGATATGGCAATTAACTCTTAAATGAACCAACTCTCAAGTGGGGAATAATTTGGTGTTTAATTGCACTCGTACTCTGTCTACATGCTATATTACACATTATGCTTAACTCAAATTCAGATTGGGTTCATTAGAAATTTAAAGGTGCACTACGTATGTAACTTTCTGGTTCAGGCTTCGGGGGCCATCACCTGCTTGTTTCTATTAATTCTGCCTGGAATGTTCCACAGTATGGTGTTAAACTGTTCTGTCTTACATTTATTAAATTATAGGTGGTTTTATAGCTCAAAAATACCTAGAAAAACACACATTCTGACTGTGAGCGGAGTTGCCTCTACACAGATCTGACCTCAAACTTGGTCTGGTTTGGTCTCCATGAAGATAATAATAATACCATACTGTGAAACATTCAGGAGAAAGCAATAACATACTGTATCTATGGAGAAAATCCGACAGTCCCTCCACCGGAAAAATTACACAATGCGCCTTTAAAATATGCCACTTACAATGCATAATATATTGCACTAATGGTGGTCACATGTGGCGATAACTGTCTTCAAAAACAAGATCTATTAAGCAAAAGAAAAATTGCATTCTGTCAACTGGACAAAAGTTATTTTGCTATTTGTCCAGTTGACCAAATTGAATTTTCCTTTTGCTCTGGATCCTATCTGGACAACTGAGGGATTACACAGACAAGATCTATTATGATTTTTAGCATGATTAACACAATCAGATATGAAAAATAAATAATGGAAACTTGAGGACTGAAATACACAAAAAGCAAAGAAAAGTATCTGACAAGCTTATCAGTCCTTCAAAGGTAAACTTACACTCTATTTTGGATAAAACTGCATGGATAACTTTTACTTTAGACAAAAACCAGGCAAGATGACAGAACTTTCCAAAAAGAGTCTTAAAACCTATTATTTTTTAACACATAATGTGAAGAGAGAACTTATTTCATAGCAGCAACTCCACCGCTAACTTTGAACTGTTCTCTTTAATATTGTACTGTGGGTCTCTCCATCTCTACTGCTGCTTTCATCATTGTAATGAAATAATATGTCACCTATTGGAACAGCATGCCTCCTTTCTGAAGGTTCTTTTAAATAGTTTCTGGATAGTGTTAGGCTTCACTTACACAAAGAAATTAACTATTTTAGCCTAGAGCATTTCTGAAGTTAATAAAGGTAACAGTTTCATCTTTTAATGACAATAGAAGAGGATCGGTTTTAGGTTTAATTAAATTGAAGTAACCAAGCTGGATTTTTAAAGTTCTTCCTTATTTCGAGATGTAATTGGGTTATATTGGCCTTGGGATGAGCTGTTTGCAGTGTAGGGAGTCAGTGGAGAAGATGAGTTACTGTGATAGGAAATAGAGGATTGGGGGAGTTGGGAATTAGGAGCAAGTGGCAACAAAGGGGGTGCAGGCTGAGATGAATGGTATGGCAGTAACTGTGTAAACATATTTGCAGGGGGAAACGAGGTCAGCAGATTGTACTGGCAAAGACACACAGAGGAGCAGACAGCTAAAGCAGCATGTATTTTTAATCGTTTGGGAAAGCCGCAGTTTGAGAAAGCCCTGACTCAACATTTCGTGAGAGATTTTAAAGTTCCGCCTTTAACAATTTTTTGGTACATAAAGGAACAGATGTGCAGTTGGAACGAGCTGTTAATGTGTGGCTAATATTGAAATCTTGTTAAATGATGTAACAAGGCTTATCTGCAATTACGCATTTTCAGCACAAATATAAATGAGAGTGTACGTATTAGCCAAGAGGTCAAAGATAATCTGGAATTGAAAGTCACTGAATGCCAAAACATTAAGTGAGGATAATATGATTTCAGCTGCCATTTAGGGGCTGTGTCTATATTGATTTAGTACGAGCACAAAGGACAAAAGAGACTATAGTTTGACCTGACATTAGAGAAGTTAAACAAGCAATTAAAAGGACACAAGAGGATAAAGTGTCTTATAAGGCCATTCAGTCTGGGTAGCAGAATGGTGATACTTAATAATGGATATGACCGAAGAGACTTGTTTTTGTCACACTCTTATTTTCAAAATGGTGAGGTGAGTGGGGACAAAAATTACACTTAGTTTTTTTTAGTCCTTGTTTAGTCCCAGTTCAGTGGTTTACTCCTGGTTTAATCCTGGTTTAGTTCTGCTTTAGTCCTGGTTCAGTCCTAGTTCAGTTTTGTTTTAATCCTACAGTTTCAATATAAACAAATAGCTTTCTTATGTATGCCTCTTTTGAACATTTTACTGCCCTGGCATTTGTAGATTAAATGTTTATTTCCCTTTAAAGCAGGCCTAAAGCCTAAATATGGACTTCCTTAAACTTTATACAACATACAGTTTATAATGACTAGTTTGACAATATATAAAAGCTCCACAATAATAATAACATAGGGGCACTTTTAACACTCCAAAAGCTATAATTATACACATTAGATCGTTTTTCTGCCTTTTGATCAAACGCAATTCTCACTTTTTATCAACTTTTCCTCTCACTAATCCTCTGAAAATTGACTCGCAAATGAGTTGTTGCAGAGGTTGTTATTGTGAAGATGATAATTATTATCCTCTGATGAAAACAATCAGAGGCAGAAACCCAACAAGGCAAATCATACTTCCCTGGGCCAAAGCTTTTTACGAACTGTCAGTCATTTTGTAGGAAAATATCCCCAAATTCTTCCAAACTAAATCACACTGAGCCGCAGAGATTGGCCCAAGATAAAATACTGGGGGTTCAATGAGGATTTGGTGGCGACCAAGAGGGAAAAGAGAGATTGCTTTTTCCGCCATAGTTATTTCAGGGCTTTGATCTCAGTCGAATGGTAGCTCAGAATAAGCATTGTGTGTATGTGTTTTCTGTCTGGATCGGTCCATATCGCACCACTGCTTCAGATATAAATTACATTTTCACAACACAAAAAGAAAACAAAACACCATTCCTGCTGAGGAAAAGCCCATGATACTCAATGACAAAACAATAACAGGATTGTGTTCCTAAAATATTTCAGGAAACACTGATCCTGAAACAAAGGTGCCCCATTTCCATGTGGATCCCATCCGGTGCTGTCTAATAATCTATACTTTATCTCAAAATATGTGCTGCTGTATACAGATGGGATTAGAGGGGATTTGCAACAGTAACAACAAATATTGTCAACAAAAATCAAACAGTTAGCTCCATCTTATTGGCCTGAATGCATGTATAGGTGCTTATAAAACAGCACAAACCTGTCAGCAATGCCGCACATGTCGATCTGCAGCTGACTGTAATTTCCCAGAAGCCTCTCCTGCACCATTATGAGGTCCACAGGTTGGTTGTTTACCACCAGGGAGTGCATGCAGCCTCGAAATGAACTAAAAGGGTTCCTGCACCCCTCTGCACTGTCTTCAACGGGGCATCCTGCAGGGTCAAATCAAAGAAAGCATCACATCAGAGAAAGGACTGCATAGTTTTAGAATATTAAAACCATATATAGCAGTTGAGTGTCGTACCACCAAAGTACAAGTGTGTTCCTTTTGTGATTGTTATAGGTGTGTTGGTGTTGGCAGAGGCTCCTTCATCTCCATCCACTGTCAGAGTCACATGACCTCGCCTGGAGATGAGCTCCATACTGTGCCACTGTCCGTCACTTAGAGACGACCCTAAAGAACACATACATAAAGGTTGGACGTTTATATTTAATAGCTCACTTTCCTGCTAATGCTGTCTAAATGTATTTGAATAAGCCCATACATGCAAGTAGTGCGGGGAATGTACTTATGTTTAATATAACAAGGTGTGAAAATGGTAGCGGACATTTATTGACTGACATGATGTAGGATCTAGTAGTCTGTGTGTCTAGTAGTCTGTATGCATAGAAACAGTCAAATAAATGGTCAAATTTTCCTTTTTGGGGCAACAAAACCGAACTAAATCAAACAATCAAACATTCATAGATTCTTTCACTAGTGAGTTAAGTCTCTTGCCAAAGGACAGGAATACAGCAGAACTACTGAAAATTATGTTATTTCATAATCATAAGGACCATAATATTAAATCTTCACAATAATTTCAACTTAATTTGAGTCTATTATCTTGACGTTCTTACTTTATAATGTCTAATCTGAATAAAAAATCACAAAATCTGTACATGAATCACTTTTTCTAACCTATTGTGAGCTCTTGTTGAGTCTTTCCCGATTTGTAAAGTCTCAGACAAAGTTTGGCTCTGCTCAAATAAATCCACACAACGCCTCCTTGCTTTGGAAGGTCAAACGTGAGCAGCAGCCCCTCTCTGTCCCATGTCCTGAACTGAAGTCCCACTGATGAGGCTGTTGATGCCGTCTCCATGGTCCACGGCAACGAGAGGAGGCTGTGAGGGCCGCTGAACGTCATGGCAACAGATACGGGCTCGACGCAAGAGAAGGTGACATTGCCCTGAGAGGAGAGGAGTGTAGGAGAAGTGATTAGGGAGGAAGAGTCCAAACATGATAATGCATGAATATGAATTCATTTGCGAAGGGTGCGTGGAGGTGCCCCGACGCACAGAGATCTCATCAGCAGGTCGTCTTAAAGAGCACCAAGTATTACCATAATGATAATAGTGTGACAGAGAAGAAGTAGAAATGAACCCAGCCACCAATGTCACTCAACAGACTGCCGAGGTCATGGACAAACTGCTGTAGAGACATAAGTGGCTGTACCAAGTGTGGCAGAAGGGGGCCGGTGCAAATGGGGGATAGCAGCTGGTCATCTCAGTGTGCCGACCCACAACTTTGAACAGTATTAATTGCAGTAATCGTACATCTTTGCAAGTGATGCTGATGTATTGAATCCAGGTTTCTTTTGGGAGTATGGAGTTCTATTTTCAGTGGCTCTCTGCAACACAGTGACACTTGATCAAACCTAAAAGCTCTTTGCGGGGCAGTTAAAGCGATACGCCATAATGCAGGCTGAAGATGAGAGTACCTTAGAGAGTCAGTGCTGTTGTACATTAGCTTGACACAATCCATTAGGCACACAAACATGTACGACTAAACACTGCATGCACAAGCCAGCTTGGACACAATTTCAAACATGGGTAGAGGAAATTCGAAAAAAGTACGTTTGTTGGAGAAACTATTTTATAAAGACTCAAAATCGTGCCCTACTGTGTTTCTGTGTAATCAGGTGATAAGCAGAAAGAGGAATGCAGTCTAGTGTGGTAATATTTGACTGAAAATGTAAAGCAAAAATTAATTGAATTGGTTGAATAAACAGCTTCTTTTTAATAATCATTATTATACTTTCAATGTGCAATGCTTACATTAGTTACATGCTCCAATAGATCTAATTTTATAATTTTTTATTGTGCACATCAAATTATAGTGTTGCTATAATTTTAGTGTTTATATATTTTAGAGACCATTTGTGACAAAAGGATTTAATCTCAACTTCTGGGTTATATTCACTGGACTGAAAACAGCAAGATGAAAAATTTTTGGCTCTCTTGGATGGATATAGTGGTATGTTTTTAGCTTCAGGTACAGGTGGGCAGTTTTGTAAAAGGGCAAAAATTTTAAAAACCAAATGTCCATTATATCTGTAGCACAGCTAGCCTCAGAGGCGTACATGTCTCACTCAGTGTCACCCTCTCCAGACCTTGGCTTCGTACTGTTTACTGGCTGGTACATACAAGCCAGCCAAAAGCACTATTTATTTCTTTTTTATTTGATTTGTAAAAATGTTATCCAGCAGGGTGCACGATTAGATTTCTTTTTTAGAATCCAGTTTAAAGGTGACAGGCATGGTGCTTTGTACATGTTTTTCAACCAATTGCAAAAAATATTACCATTTGTAGGGACTCTCTATGAGCGATTTAGTGATAGCTATTCACATTGTATTGTGGAGGAAACTGTACCAACAGAAAAAAAGATGGTGAGAACATGCAAACTGCTAAGCTCTGAGCTTGTTCTCAGTGAAGTATAGAGATATAAAGGATAAACAGTCAAATGAGTTTTCTTGCTCTGTCTAAAATCAGTCTATGTAACAATACTGTACCAAAGAAGATGCTTTGTATTACCAGATCTAAAACTAAGATTATTCAAGACTTAGGGCCTGTCCACATGACACCGTTTTTTGGTCAAAATGGTGAAGTTTGTATTAGTTCAGGCCTTTTGTCCACATGGAGTTTCGGGTGGGTGAAAATTGTGATTTTTGAAAACGGGTTCCAGAATGGAGAAATCTGACAACGCCGGTGTTGCGTTGTCATGTGGCCCAGCAAACTGCAGCTTTTGGAATACGATGACGTCGCGACCCCGTTGCAGCCCTTGAACTAGCCTCCATCCTCCTCAACAACACGCAGCATGCAGATTACGCACATGGATCGATAACAACGATTACACACGGCACGGGTAATAAAACTGTTGGATTTTGACACCAAGTTATTCTAATAATCCAAAACTTATGGCTAAAAAACAAAAACTTATGTTTAAGTTTTGCAAAACAAAACGGTTGTATTTCTGGGATACATCTAAAATAGGCTAAATTACCTTAAAGTTTAAAAGAACTGTGATGGGATATGCATTATTACCGTATTTTCTGTGCTATTAGGCGCTCTGAATTATAAGGCGCACTGTCATTAAATGGTCTATTTCAAACTTTTTTCACATATAAACCGCACCGGACTTTAAACAAAACACAACAGTTAGATGGCTCAGTCGGACTTTGCCTGGCACGTTCACAGTGACTCTTGGCTTTATTCAATTGTGGTGCGTAGGGAGGGTGCTGTCTAGGACTGCTGGACTGTTGGCGTGTCCGCAGTGACTCAGTTGTTCAGTTGTGGCTCAGAGTGGCACATTGCACTTGCTTTTTCGATTCGTTCCTCCGTTCCGTTCCTCGTCCGCATGGAGTGATGATTGTGGCTGCAGGTGTTTTTCTCTGCGCGGTCGCTGCCTGCTCCATGTGTGTTTGCGTGCGCAGCATGTGGTGGGGCTTGTAGTTTACTAAAGTCGTGCTGGGACACCCAAGTGGATTCGTGTATAGGGCGCTCTGGATTGCGGGGCACGCAATCGTTTCTTGATGCAGTTGGAGGCTTAAGAGCGCGTCTAATAAAACGGAAAATATGGTAAATATTATCATTGTTAACAGCACCACATATAGATGTGACATTATGTATTACATCGTTTTCACTCAGTGCTCCGTGGTCATCTGGATATGAATATTTAGTGAACCAAATACGTGTGTGGACGCAAATTTTTTTCATCCCACAGAAAAAAAAAAAAGAAAAAAAAAAAGAAAATCCAGGAGCATTGTCCTCTGGATTTAGCCTTAAACTAAACCAGGAAAAATGTACTACACCCTTGTTACAAGGACAACATCAAGAACAATTGACTCTGGATTCAGCAAATATTTAAACTGCAGAAGAATCCTGTACCATCAGTACTACACACTTCGCAGTTTGAGAGCCAAAGCTATACACTATTAGAACTCAAAATGATCAGTGCAATGAAGGTACAATGTTTTAACTTTAGTACCTTTAGTAGCACCTTTTACTTTACTACTTTAGTGTAAACATTGGCAGCACACCCATAGTCACACAAAATGACAGAATGGCAAAAATGCAGTAGTTAGGACAATGAAAATATCCACAAAGTTAAAGGGTGTCCAGCTTACCTGCACAGTTACCCGTTGGTCACTCTGTTTTGCGAGGTGCACCAAGCTCAGTCCGTTATAAATCACATTTTCCAAACATCCATGGAAGTTTCGGCTTGGCCGCGCTGACCTCTGTGAGCCCAGACTCAGGTCTGCTCCCACGCTGATCTACAAAGGAATCAAAAAAGAACCACAATATCAGCTTAAGACAGAAAAAGAGACCGTGTCAATGTGGCATCTTTATTGTTTTGGTCAGGACGAGCCTACCTGGTCATGGTCCCAGTGGGCGAATTTCGATGGGATCTGAACCCACAGAGTGCTTTTGTCCACGGTGAGGTTGAGGTGTGTGCTTTGATGCTCCACAACAAAATGATGCCAGTGCTGGTCGTCTAAAAGGCTGCCCAGGGACACCAGGTGCCGACTGGCTGGAGAAACGCCTCTGCCTTCAAAACAAGAAACAATAAGAAAGAAAGAGAATGACGTCAAATAAAAAAAAACTTTCTAAAAAAACACACACCCTAACACACATGTTGGGTCTCCATGCTTTTGGGGACATTGACTTATATGCATTTCTTAGAGGCTGATCTTAACCGTAACTATAGTCAGCACTTGCCTAACCTTAACCTAAACCATACCTGTAATAGAGACTTGATTTTTGTCCCTGTGATGTGAGTATGTATAGTTTTTAGTCCCCCACAATGTGCTAAATATCCATCCACAAACACACATATAGACAAAAGTTGCCCGTGTGTCTTGTCACTGTGAAGCAGTGTGAGACTGCATCCCTATTTGCTCCACTGTTGTTTACTGGCATTCAGTGTTGTATTGTTTTTCTTTGATCTAAAGTTCTAAACCATGGACGTGGTGGTTTTCCTAAAGGAGCCTCACCTGGGGAACTCATTTACAACCTGAGCTACATCTGCTGTGGAAACTGACCTAAAAAGCGAAGCTAGCAGCCAAATTAACACTAAAGGGATGTGAAAAATGAGGAAGTCTGACAAGAGAAAAGATAAACATGGTTTCATAATTCTGTCTTTTTTTTTTTTTTTTTTTTTCGGCACACTTACTGGAATTTGACATACAAGCTATCTTATTCTACTTAGATGCAGGTAAAGCAGCAACAAAATGCACTTAGGACATTAAATATAGATGAGAGGTCTATCATAAAGACTGGTCTGTGAGAGAAAAACAGAGAGAGAGAAAGAGAGAGAGAGAGAGAAAGAGTATAGATTATAGATAAATGATGAGACAGTAATCACTGTAAATCATTTCCTCAATTAAAATAACCATAGAACACTGAATATACAGTGTGTTTCAAGTTATATGTTGAATATAACTAGAACATAACTATATAACTAGAATATATAAGTAAATAATAATAAATAATTTAACTGCGATAACAATTTATTGACACAGCCTGTATAAATAAATGTATAAGTCCAAAAGTTATTGCTCTTTCCTGCCTCCGGTGAGTACAATCTCAACTTTAAGCAAAGAGGAAGTGCAGACATTTTTATAAGTCTAGGGTCACAGCCATAACACCATTATAGAATTTCTGCCCAAATTCAGCAAAAATACTGCCAACCATAGCTCGAAAACTTTGTTAAAGAAGTTATAAAAGTCTCCTTAACTGTTCAGGCAATCTTTAAATCTTAATGAAGTGAATCTTATCCCTCATTTATGCCTAAGCTTTTTTGCACACCTTACACATTTTATTCTGAAATCATGTCTTTTGTCGCCACTTTATTGTTCTGAGCTGTTTTAATCTAATCCAAACACATTACTACACTTTAAAACATACAGTTATATTCAGACTGCATTGTACAGGACTCAATGCATTTTTTATTTAGCCAGAGTGTGGGGGTGAAACAATTTTAGACTCTTTTTTAAATAATTCAGCAATTCCGGTTTTAGTAAAAAAAAATATTAAAATGTTAAATACTTAATTTTCCACAATGTTACATTATTCTATGCAGTTCCCTGAGGCTATATTACCTAATCATGTGGCGTCTGCTTTGGCAATAAGGCATTCACAGCAACTCCGGATCTAATTAAGTTTGCTATTATTGACAGTTCTTATCAGATGACGCGCTGACGTAATTGTTTTACCAGTTTCCTCTGGCTTCCACGATTAGAATGGATAACATGAAAAAAAGAATGCAAACAAAAAGGCTTTCAGAAATGTTCAGCATGTTTAGTGTGACCAGTTTTGAGCCCTGTGTCCCCTCTTACCCAAAACCAGTGATTTGTCCCAGTTTTATACAAGAAATGTCCCATGTGTCCCTATTTTTGACCAATTTGATACCTGCAAACAGTAAAGAGGGGGGTATATTATCATTTGTTTAGCTAAAATACAAAAAACTATACTTGAAAAGGAGGGACAGAAGTGCAGAGGAACTCATTCTCCAACAGATTCCTACAGCTCAGCTCAAACAGTGAGAGATACAGGACTATATTTATCATACTCCATACAACTGTACAACAACTCACCCTGATGTAAAAAATAACCCTATGTCCTGTCAATCATTATCTCATCTTTGCGCTGTTTCTCCTTACGACCTTTGTACATAGCTGAGAGATATATTTGTATTACTACATATACATATATAAATGTACATTTATATAATTCTGCCTTATTTCACACCAGGCTTTTGCTATTTTTGCTACTTATTTTGAATGTGTTATTATCATTTATATTGTTGCTCTTTGTTATTCTAATATATTGTAATGTGTGAGCTACTGCGTCCAAATAATTTCCCATGTAGATCAATAATGTTTGTCTAAGTCTAAGTCTAACTGACCATAAGGCAAAAAAATACAGTCAGTTGCAACAACCGAAGTCCTAAGATTATACTGACCCAAAAGTGACTTGAAAATAGACAATGTTATGCGCTCTTTTTACAGTTTTATTCATCCCAACCATCCCAACCAGGGTGTGTCCCAGTTTTTAATTTTGAAAATCTGGTCACCCTACCCTGGTTACTCATCAAAATGCTTCCGAAATGACCTTTTCTCAGAATCAAACATTGCAATTTATGTTTATTGTCTTCCAAAGAATGCATTGAAATCAGTCACGACCAATTTTCACTTTTCAAACTCCAACAACAATCAGCCATTTGTATTCATGGCTATTTATTTTGAAGGGCAATTAGCATAAAGACGCCGACTTTTGGAAGCTCATTTTGAGTTGTGATGCAGATGCTGATCAGTTAGATATCTCCCAACCGATAAAACAAGGCAGTTGTGGGCAGTAAAATTAAGCAAAGCTGGCTCTCTCTGACACCAGCGGGGGATGTATCTGTTTGTTTACACCCTGATAACAGAGGAGACAATAAAAACACTGTTATAAATCATCGTGAAAAGCTCAAAATAAAAGCCAGAGTTGACACAGGAGCAGTAAATCATGCACAAACAATACTGTGAGTATTACTAAAGAAGATATTAAAGAAAACGCTCTGATCAAGAGATATATCTTACCTATACACAATGCAGTCATAACACTACACTGTCTGCTTGAGGTGGACATATTCTTATGAACATCAGGACAAACCTTGTACCCGATTCCTCATATTTTTTTAGAATTGTTGTCGGATATAAAATTTAACAGTATAAAATATTAAACAACAGCACCACTGATAAAAATCTCAGAAACATGCAGATCACAGTAATGAGCAGATGTGTCCAGAGTGGCCAAAAATTATTAAAGTTAAATGGTCCATTTTAGACTACTTTCTGAGCTATGTAAAAATGTTGTTTACTCATCACAAACATTTCTGGAGTTATATTTAGTTTCATTCACACAAGTTTAACAAACAAACCCTGAAAATTATGAATAGTTCTTCTCTTGAACAGAAAACACTTTATGATGTCATGGGGTAATACAGGAAGTGCTCCGTACACCTTCTGGCATCTCTACTGAACTAAAGGTAAAAGATGCTGTTAACATGAAAACTGCCGCTTCATGACATCACAAGGTGGAACAGAATATTTTGCGCTCTGAAGATGTAGACAGACTAATAATAAAGAATAAAGTAGTACCTTTAAGTCAGGGGTGTCCAAACTTTTTTCATCAAGGGCCACATATCTAAACACAGATGAAGCAGAGGGCCGATCGAGGGTCATAGACTGGTGCTCAATACAGTGAATAATTGAAATATGTGCATTAGAATGAACCATCAGTCTTTATTCATGCTTAGATCCTTAAAACCACACACTAAATATTAAATATTAGCTTTATCAAGGTAGATTTTCAGAAAACTTGCAGTAAAAAAATTATTTTTATTTGATGCAAGGTAATTTGGGCCATTTCACCTGGAAGCCTGAGGGCCAAGAAAAATGTGTCTGAGGGCCGCATTTGGCCCCCAGGCCATAGTTTGGACATGCCTGCTTTAAGTACAAAGTAGTACTCCAAAAAATTGTAATATGATATTGTCAATATAAAGCTTTTACCACTCGTAGAATTACTGATACAGGGAAGAGTAACCACATTTTGACTGTTACACTGTACAATACATTATTATTATATAAGTAAGAGTTACATACAGTATCTGAAAACTACTCCAAGAAGTACAATTTCTTTAAAAAAGGTACAGTATATATAACTGAGTACTCCCAAGTCTATTATTTTCAACTCTAGAGCTGACATGGTAACATCTTTCAACAGCTGTGAATGTAATAGTATTGTTCTTCTTGTACAATAAATGTATATAGCCCAAATACAGTGCTTATCTGTCATAAACTGAAGTATAAGAGGGATCTCTCATTAACTGAACTAGAAGAGGGTCTAGGGGCCATTTGACCTCTATCTCATCTGTCGGATTACTCATTCTCTGTGTGCAGTCTACTGTTTAGGACAATATCTTACACAGTTAATTACAGCTGCCAGGTTCTCCCGCATCTAACAATTTATGCAAAAGGACAAAATGTAAAATAATAAAGACTGGTCTGTATTATTCAGTACACCTTCCAGGAGTCCTAATATCTGATCTGTGTATATGAAAACGCTTCTATCACAGCGCTTTTAAATCTCACATTTTAGCTGTAATCACTGGAGTGTGTGTCGGAGATCACTGCTGGGATAGAATGAGATGCAGAAATAAAACAGTGGGCATGCTGATTACAGTTATGACATTTGGACATGCAGCCAAAGTCATTTCAAAAGCACAAATCAATTTCTGTCACTTCCACTGGCTCAGAGTCTGAGAGCTCCAGAGTTGGCTGCACTGAAGCGGCTATAATCCACATTCTCCATACTAAGCCATCAACTTATAATGTGTGAGCTGCAAAAGTCTAAATTAACATTTTAATGCATTTTAGGGAAGATAAAAATGAATTATAATGAGGAGTGTGCATGCTATTTAATAAGCCAATATCTTGTATGGCCATTTGGACATCTCCGGGCACAGAGTGGAACTAAGTGTGAAACATTAAGTGCTGCAGAAGGAGGTGTACACAAAGGAACAAAGCACCAAAACAGGCATTAAGGCTGTGGACCAATTAATGAAATGGTAATACTGTAAATTCATTTTAGAAGTAACTAGTCTCTTTTGTAGTTAGCAAAGTTTTGAGTTTGTAATGGATTTCAGAAATAGAGGCAGTTATTTTTGTAGACTGGACAAACTTCACAGGGAAAGGTACAAATAAACATAAAAAATAATAATAATAAATAATAAAGTTGATAAAACTCGACTTTGATACAAAATTAATTAAAATGAAAACACAACATAACATAATTTTCAACACAAAATAATAGTTGTTTTCATAAAATGATCATGACTTCTTATACTTCCTTCAGTAAAGGTTCATCCTGTCTTCACTTTTAGTCTAATACTAGTTCTGATATAGATCAAGATTATTCAAAAACTAGGAAAGGTCCAATTTATGTATTTTTTTTCTGAACAGATACTTGTTCCAGTATCTAGTTTCAACAATATTTTTTTGAATTGATTGGTATCACCTAGACAAGGCAATGGTAAAAAGGCAACTTTGGAAACCCACCATTAGCATTCAGACAGTAGCTGTGGCCTACACCAAAATCTTTGTACTTTTAATTAGCCTACTGTGGGTGGCTAGAGTCTGTAATATCCTGGCTCTATTTCGCAAAGGTACTGACACTAAAATAGCACTAATTGTTGGATCCTGCTATTCTATTGATCATTTTCTGTCTGAAAGCGCGTGTCTTACCTGTTTGCAGGTGCAGAACCAGCTTTCCCTTCTCTAACTCCAGCGTGACACTGTGTCCACTTTGTCCGTCAGCATGGAGTAATGTCCCAGAGTTCTTCAGTGTTTTAAAATTAAGGGAAATACTCTGTTTGACCATTGTAGGTTTTGGACTCAGCCTGAAAAGGAGACTGCTTCGACCAGTGAAGCTGACCACATCGGAATCTGAAAAATATGAAATGTCATTATTAAATATACCTCAGCCATGAAGAACTAGACAATTCAGAATCAATGGAGTTTCATTATGGCCACAGGGTCTTTCCTTTACAGTGTAGGGTGAAGATTAAAGGTGGCCTGGATGAGCAGAAGACCAAAGACAATCTATAAAGGCTGCACTATTCAGGCATCAAATGTGAAATGTCAGCTGAAATGTATTGATTAGTGTCCCCATTGCGAGACCACCCACCATTCACCAGGCAATCAGTGTATGTCTCTTTGTTGTTGCATTAGATCGCTTTTCTTTAAATAATATGTTTTGTGTTCATCCAGTTTCTCTCATCGTTCTATCAGGCTTTGCTCGGGGGGTATAAATTATGAGCTTGGCTGATATTCTTCCTTTATTTTTGTTCTGCTTCTGCTACTTTTACCACTTAGCTCAATTTAGGCTACTGTGATCCTGAGGCGGTGTGCACAAAGGACAAAGGCCCACTATATGCAATTGTTCTATTTCCTTTTCCTTCATAATGGGAGATTTAGGTCAAAGCCTAGACACTGCAGACAGCTAGAGAGGACACATTAGTAACTTAAACATACATGGTGCCATAAATGCAACATGGTTTTGTCAGTATTTACTGTAAGGACATCCATAGGCCTCTATCCTGAGTCCGATCCGGCCGTTGCTGTTCCAGTCCAGGGGGATGAGGCGCAGGTAGCGAGCGATGACTGTCTGCTGCAGCTTGTGCTGAACCACGCTGTCTGCATTGGTGTTTCCAGAAAACATCTGAAAATACCACACACTGTTGTTGTTTCTTTGTTATAACAATGACCACCTTTTACTCCAATAGAACTCCCTTTTGGTCAGACCTGCTTCTCTATAAGTGAACATTTCCCTTTTCATCTTTTCTTTGAGGTTGAGCCCCAGTCCCAGAGGCATGTGTGAGAAGTGATGCGTTTGATTTTCCTCTTTAATGAAAGGAATGGTGTGGAGATAAGGCCACGTTCCTGGTGAATGCTTTCTCAATCAGGTAGAAAATTAGATTTGTGAAGCACACGTTGTAGTTTTATGTGTTTGATGCTTTGGTAAACACTTGGTCCATGGAGAATAACAGTTATTAACCTCCTCAATCCTATAGCACATGTCGGCTTTTTTCCAATACTCAGCTGAATATAAAGTTTAACAATTCATTCCAGTGCAAGTCGTCAATGCTAATAAAAGTGTCTGCACAAAAGTGCAGATCATCAAGTTCAGCTCTGTGTCTTTGAACAGGTGTGTGGAGAGCACAGCCTAACCTTCAGCGAGAGGTGTTTGATATATGGCCAAGCCTGGATACACAGTCTTCCTTTGGGAGCTTTTAATTAACAGAGAAAGTGACGGAAATGAGGAGAAGGAGACAGAGGTTTAGGAGGTGAGGCAGGAGCAGCGTTTCCCACAGAAATGTCTTAGTAAATGCAGATGATGGCCAACTGAAGGTGACAGGCATCACAGGAAAATGACTAATGGACTTTTTAATAGCTTTATAGTCACAGAGCCTGAAGGCCAATGGGGTTGGCTGAATTTTCGCTTCCATTATGTTCAACCGAACCTGAATCTCAAATGTGGAGTTTCTTAATGTGGGAATAAATAAGAAAATGTTTTGATTTGTTAAATAACCCTCCCCAACACAACACACTTTCAAAAGGGTGCTAATGACTGCAGAAATGTACTTCTGTTTCACTTAACCTTCATATGTGATTTTCTGTAAAACACGCCAAGTCAATAAACAGTCTGTTCGTTCAATGCGCAGAATGTTTTCTTACATTATACATTAAAAACACATTTTCTGCTATTTTATAAGTATTTCTCAGGACGCAACACATGCTTTTATATTTGCCACAAATCCAGTCTAAATGAATCTTTCTTCCCTTATTAGGAGAGCACTTCCACCACCATCTGCTGCGGCTCACCTTAGTGGCACCCGCTCAAAGACAGACACGCGGAGGAGCAGTGAATGAGAGAGCATTACTCAGCTCCACTCAACTCTGGCCTCTGCGCTTAAAGGAGAAAAGTCCTAGAGGAATAGTGACTGATGAAGCAGCTCAGCCCATGACTTTGTTCCCCGAAAGCCTTAATAAACCAGGCTGACTAATACGGAGCTTTGGAGAGACGGAGGAGACGCGCTGCGGATTTAGCCCGATTTATAGCGACTGTGAAATCAACACAAGCTCTAAAGCTTTTTCTGCTCCCCTGGTCCCTCTGAAGGAATCTTAGCTTGACATTCATTTTGCCCTCACCGCGAGAGCCTTACCTCTCATCAAGTTAAAATTGAAGCTGTTCTACACGCCATCACTTTAATAGGGAGAATTGTCTGTCTACAAGGTAACGTCTGACTGCCTCCGCATACACTCTTAGCGTACTGCACTTAACACAGAGCGCTACAGAGCCCGCGGGTGAAGAATACATTTTAAAAGCAATTGTGTAAGTAAATGAGATGCTAATTCCTTGGTTTGTTAAAAAGTAACTGCAGCCTTTCTGACATGTGGTTTTATTAGGCTTAATGCATATAAGCACATAACAGCCCTATAACTCTGTACTAATTTCAATAAATGTAAATTCTCCACTACACATCTGCTACTCTGTTGCATGTTAAAACTTCATAAGTATATCAGGTCAGTAAGCGCATAATAAAACACTAATTTACTGTTAATAACAAGGAGAGGCTCATTACGTTTACAACACAAGACAACTGAAGTCATGCATGGTGCTGCAGCTAAATGCCTGCTGCATTATATATGCAAATTTATGCTAGGAGCTCATATAAAACTTCCACTTTGCATTTTGGACCACAATATACAGTATGCAAATGCTCCAACAGTGCACCATTTTGGGATATATTTATACATACATTTATACATACATTTATACATATATTTAACCAGGAAAATGTCATAACCTGACACACTGGAACTAGTTAGGACTTCAAATGAGGTTCTAATTTAGTCCAGTAATGTGTTGCTTCAAAAAATACAACTGAATTTCACTTTTAGTTTATGATCTATAAAAAAGCCTTACTTGACATGATTAAGGTTTACCATATCAGTAATGCTATATTCATGTTGAATATTGCATGTTGTTCTAATATCATGCCATTTTTCAGTCTAGGTGCCCAGTGTAACTTTTTTTTATTATTGCTTTGTCTGAAATATTCCACAGTATGGCATAAAATTATCTTGCTTTCTTTCAGCTACAGGTGCCTTTTTTCCCCTCAAAACATATTAAAAAGAGTGCATTCTTCCTGTCACTTGTTACAAAGTTACATAACTCACCTTTAGATGATAATTCTACTATTCAAACCACATACTCACTTTAACTACACTCACCCCAATGCTGTCCTCCTGTCGATACTGCCTCCAGTTGTGTCCCGTGTCACTGAACATCAGCAGGTAGGCTGTTAGCCAATCAGAGCTACCGTAGCGTCCCTGTGTGGCCACAGCTGTAACCTGGGTTCGCTCTCCCAGATCCACCTCCAGCCACTGGTACCAGTCTGAGCTCAGGGGGGACCAGCCTCCAGCTCCTGGGACACAGACATCAGAAAAAGAAAAGTTATGAACCAAAATGCAAAGATGTAAAGTTTACAAAAGTGTGTCTCTCTATCCCAAACTTTGCAAGGCCAAGAGCACAAACATGTTACCCTCCTCAGTTTTTGATGTTTTATTTAGAACAGACTAAAGAGTTTTAATCTGTAGCTCAAGGACTGCTCTTAATGTGAGTCAAAGGAATTCATGACAAGCACCAAGAGCTTTATACAATATTAAAGCTGGCCACTTCATAACACAGCGTCAAATAATCCCACTGCCACGAGAAGTTAGAGCGACTCAGCAGCACCCATACCATGAAAACATGTTGAATAATTAACATGGCCATAGGTGTATATGGAGGTCATTGTGCATGGCTGGGCATAAAAGTTAAAAGTGCTGAATCATGTCAGCGTGATATTGAGCAGTTGCAACCATCTTATAGAACAGCATGATATGAAAATGGGGAGAGAATGGCCTCGTAAATCCTGTGTAATAGACAGTACTTAAGCACAAACCTTGAACTTCAAAACATGCATGAGCGAGTGGGCTATAATGAGAGTCTACTAAATTATTCCAGTTCTATCGTTTTATTTTGGTCCAAACTTGATTTAATATTGAGCCTTCCAGTGTGACGGCTTAATACATGAGTTGGGCTTAAGATGTATTGTTCCAACATGTGTCAAACTACACTCTTTGTCTGCTGATTGATGATCTTGGAGGAGTTCCACTGTTGAGGTAAAATAGCACTGTGTTGATGCTTCACTTGGAGCTGTAAATAACTGAAAAACCTGCCCTTTTGGTTGTTAGTTTTTCAGAGCTATAGTGATGAGGACAGACTGGAAGAAACACAAAAAGATATTCTGTCAATTCTTTCTTGCACGTACCAGGTAATTACTTTTGGCTTTAAGATTAGCATCCGTAATTTCACCATTTTATAGTCAGTTATTAACGCACAGTGTATTGTTCAGAATATATAAAAATAGCTCCTGTGGTGGCTTTTTTCTTTTTTTTAAATAAAGCCATGGGTTGCATCTTTGAGTCGCTGCTCATTTTGCTGGTAAATTAACTTGGAATGAGCCAGGCCCTCAGAGAATCACAAGAGACTATGAGGAGTGTTAGCAGCCGTCACAACAGACATAAACAACTATAGGAACTCTGATTTATTCACATGCCTTTGAAAACAGATGGAACCACTGCCTTAAGCCATTGCGAGGCATTGTTTTCCGGTTGGTTCCATGTCATTCCAATGTGTGAATAAGTGGTGTTTCAATATTCAGGCGTGTCTAATAACAAGTGACAGTATTACAGCGCATTTTAGTAACGTTTGACACTTTAGATTACATGCGGAAAAACAAATTGATTGACTTGAAAAAATAAAATATACAATGCATGCAGTGTTTTCACAGTTTAAGTCATCAAGCAGTGGGTACCTGTCAACCTGCAAGCTGCGCTTCCTGCAGATTCTCAGGTAAATAAAAGAAATCACATTGCAACCACCACTGCATCTCAAATAAAACATCATGTTGCTGTATATAAAAATGCCAGCAAATTATATCCCAGATTGAAATGGCATGTAAACAGAAAATAACCTGATTTCTTTCTGCTTGTTCACACACCTGTGCACAGAGGTGGTAGACAGATAAGAAAATAGATATCATTGAAATTATTGTTCTGGAGATATGCAAAATTTGAAAAATCAAGTATACTGTATTGTCTATAATTTAAACCACGAGAAGTTTGTACAAAAAGAGCTGATTAATATAGAATGAACAGAAATGTGAAGTGTAATTTTCCAAAGGGATACAAAGGTTTATGCTCCATTCACATTTGGGAGATACCTGAAGCTCAACCAAAACACAATTTTAGCACATACTACCTGATGCATATTAATTTTTGTTAATATCACCCACCGCTACTGAAAAATTAAATGGCCCAAACACCACCCACAACCACATCCCAGCAAATAACTGGGATGATCATGTACCCGACTGGAAAAGAGTCAGGGGGGAGGATGGTGTGATAAGGCAGTGTTTCCCAAACATTTTTTCTGAAGAGATTACACAGCAAATTCAGAAGTGTTACATTCACTGTGTTGGTGTTGTTGTGAGTAAAGTGAAGAAAATCCAGATATGTTTCAAGACAGTCAAGAGTTATTTCAACTATGATAGTGCTGTAGAGTAAAATAAGTAGTTGTGTTTACATAAAATGAGTAGTTGTTGATTCACAGTGTTAACGTCAAACACTTAGAAAGTGTCTATTTTGATTATTACACTACATCAGTGTTGGGCCTTTGTAACGTTTCCAGTGGGAGAGCTACAGTCCGAGAAAGAAGCACATTTCACTGTCCGAAGCTAAGCTAACAGCTAATAGCGTTTCTTTTTCAGCAGAACCGAATTCAACGAGCCTCATGTCCAACCACCTGAGCTCTCACATGCCCCGGGTCAGATTACTTTACCTTTTTAGGACACTCTGCAGTTAATTTAATTCATAAAAATGCCAAACATATTTGGTCTAATGCTAGTAGTAATATTGAGCAGTAGTAAGATAACTAACTTAGCTGTGAGATTTATATATATATATATATATATATATATATATACTTAGCTGTAGATATATATATATATATATATATATATATATATATATATATATATATATATATATATATATATTTCTTAAGTCTAAGTAAAAAGTAGAAGTCCAAAAGATGTGATAAAGTTAATGCAATTGCAAGGATGAAACATGAAATAGTACTCATGTCTGGTATATTCACAGTGGAAAGAAAGTACAATATCTGTAAACAGTGACTCAAGTAAATGTATTAAGTCATAATACATTAGGTCACTGTAATCCTTGTGACAGGCCTGTTCTACACCCAGTTTATGTAACGCGATTATTTAGCACAGTTATGAGATATTTATGAGCTATTTCAAGTGATAAATACAAAAATGTTGGTGGCAAAATAATGTCTCCTACGTTTATTTCACTGCTGTCATCTGCAGTCCTGGTTTCACAGCGCCTCTCTCCTCAAATGAAATGTAAAGTTAAATCAAACAAGTTTATATCTCTTATGGCAACGCACAGACATTTCACGGTTGCCAGTAGTTGCATATATAAACACCAATATTGGAATTTTCTGTGATTCTCGTCTGCGCTCCGAGAGCGAAACCACATTTCACCGTCCGAAGCTAAGCTAACAGCTAACAGCGTTTGTTTTTCAGCAGAACTGAATTCAACGAGTCTCAAGTCCAACCACCTGAACTCTCACATGCCCCGGGTCAGATTACTTTACCTTTTTAGGACACTCTACAGTTAATTTAATTCATAAAAATGCTAAATATATTTGGTTTAATACTAGTAGTAGTATTGAGTAGTAGTAAGCTAACTAACTTACCTGTGACAGTCAATGTTGCCATCACTGATGTCCATGAAAATTGGGTAAAATAGCCACAAATTGTACTCCATTAAGAGTAACGTTCCTTCAAAAAAATATTTCTCATGTCTATGTAAAAAGTAGAACTCCAAGAAATGTTTTTAGTAGCTAAGAATAAAAGTATTTGGGGAAACTACTCAAGTCACTGAAGTTAAAAGTAACTGAACAAAACATCTGATTTGTCATTTAAGGTTAATACAGTTGCGAGGATGAAACATGAAATAGTACTCATGTCTGGTATTTTCACAGTGGGAAGAAAGTACAATATCTGTAAATAGTGACTCAAGTAAATGTATTAGGTCATAATACATTAGGTCACTGTAATGCTTGTGACACCTGCCCTACACTTAAGTGTATGTAACGCGATGATTTAGGACAATTATGAGGTATTTATGAGCTATTTCAAGTGATAAATACAAAAATGTTGTTGGTAAAATTATGTCTCCTACGTTTGTTTCATTGTTGTCGCCTGTTGTCCGGATTTTACATGTTTTTTTTTTTTTTTTAACATGGTTTCACAGCGCCTCTCTCCTCAAATGAAATGTAAAGTTAAATCAAACAAGTTTATATCTCTTATGGCAACGCACAGACATTCCACGGTTGCCAGTAGTTGCATATATAAACACCAATATTGGAATTTTCTGTGATTCTCGTCTGCGCTCCGAGAGGGAAACCACATTTCTCCGTCCGAAGCTAAGCTAACAGCTAACAGCGTTTGTTTTTCAACAGAACTGAACTCAACGAGTCTCAAGTCCAACCACCTGAACTCTCACATGCCCCGGGTCAGATTACTTTACCTTTTTAGGACACTCTGCAGTTAATTTAATTCATAAAAATGCTAAATATATTTGGTCTAATACTAGCAGTAGTATTGAGTAGTAGTAAGCTAACTAACTTACCTGTGACAGTCAATGTTTCTGTTACTCCATGTTGATGTCCATGAAAATTGGTAAAATAGTCACAAATTGTACTCAATTCAGAGTAACGTTACTTCAAAAAAATTAAATAAAAATAAAATAAATACAATTTGGAAGTCTAAGTAAAAAGTAGAAATCCAAGAAATGTTTTTAGTAGCTAAAAGTATTTGGGGAAACTACTCCTCAAGTCACTTAAGTTAAAAGTAACTGGACGAAACATCTGATTTGTCATTTAAAGTTAATGCAATTGCGAGGATGAAGTACAATATCTGTAAATAGTAACTCAAGTAAATGTATTAGGTCATAATACATTAGGTCATTGTAATGCTAGTGACAGGCCTGTCCTACATTCACTGTTCACGATGATTTAGGACAGTTATGAGCTATTTCTGAGATATTTATGAGCTATTTCAAGTGATAAATACAAAAATGTCGGTGGTAAAATAATGTCTCCGACGTTTATTTCATTGTTGTCATCTGTTGTCCGGGTTTTACATGGTTTTACAGCGCCTTTCTCCTCAAATGAAATGTAAAGTTAAATCAAAACAAGTTTATATCTGTTATGGTAACGCACAGACATTCCACGGTTGCCAATAGTTGCAAATATAAACCCCAACATTGGAATTTTCTGTCATTCTCCGTCTGC